TTTGTCGATTTTTTTTTCAAATCGATATAGCTTAAAAATGACAAGCCCTACAAAAAAGTGATGTATGGCGAACTTTTAGCAAATAATCTGAGATTTTATAAAAAAATTTAAATAAAATAAAAAATCGGTTTTTACACTCTAAAAAAATATATTTAAAAATTAAAAGTCATTTTCCCAAAAATGGTACCCCTCAGATTTGCTTGATATTTTTTCTCATGAAAGGCAATATAATTACCTAACTTTTCTTCATACATCGCAAAGTGGGCGCTTTTAAGGAAAAAAAGTTGTTCGAACAACAACTTTTTCATGTTAATTTTTTTTTAGCGTGTTTCACTCAAAGTCGAATAGTAATACGCGCACAACCTTATTAAAATTCGATTAAACTTTATGGGTATACTTTTCGATAATCTGGGTGAAATCTAGCCTAACATTTGAAAAGGGTACAGAGAAGTTACCTGCAAATCGTCCAATAAGAGTTCAGAACAAAACGTTCTAATGAGGAACAGCCATCTCAGCATGGTTTGCACTTTCCTGTGATGGATTGTATTATAATATATGCATACACTCTATCCAACTTCTATAAAACCACCCTCAAATTGTTCCAAATCAACAGGTAAACTAAGTAAAAATCACTTAGTATGTTTTATTCATGAAAAGATTTCAATTCATGTATTTGTGATTAATTTAATTAGAAAAATAATCATTCATTTATTTTTATGTATTAGGTGTGTCCATTAGTAAGCAATATGCATATATGTTTATACCTCATCTCTCAAGTGAATACATATAATAGCGCAGGTAACTTAACGATTATTTAAGGCATGCCTAAAATAATCGTTAAGTTACCTGCTATATAGCAGTTATATAACAACGCAGGTAGTCACATGAGAGATATAAGGTTTAAACTTAAAGCACCGCAGTCTGTTTCTACCGACATAATCTAATATTTAAGTTTGGTGATATCACAACAATGCTCATAGTTGCTGTAGTGCATAGTTGTTGAAAGTGTAGTGCTGCATAGTTGTTGAAACGAAAAAGTGTTTATATATACAACAATGGAAAAATCTGCTGAATTGATTATTAAAAGGGTGCAATGTAGTGCCAACATAAACAATCCCAATTGCAGCCGCAATAATTTACGTAATTTATCATCAAGTCTCATAGAGAAAATACATTCATGGGGCTTTGATCATCAATTGGATGTAACAATGCGTATTTGTGAATCGTGTCGTGGAATTTTAGTGCACAATAGGACACCTCTCCCGAAAAAGAGGCGATCGGATGGAAAAGAATCAAGCCATGCTCGGAAGTTTGAAGAGCCGCAACCATCAACAAGTCATCAGCAATCAGAACATCAGGAATTTGATGATACACTAGGTAAATAATAATAACTTTAACTGTTTCAACTGTGTGGTTTAAGGATTGTACATCGAAGATACAACTTCATTTTCAACATTTTTTTAGAGCACGAGCTGGATGAACCGCTTATCGTACAAATTTGATCGATTGGTAGGCCAACCTCGGTGAACAATCTATCAAATTTTCACGACTGTACGATATGCGGTTTATGCAGCTCGTGCTCCACAAACATGGGGAAAATTCAGATGCGGCTTCGATGTACCGTAAACGGGGATGTCTTTGATAATGGAGGTAACTTTGATAATGCAGCTAATCCAAAAAGTTATGACTTAATGCTCTTCGTATTCATTATTTTGGAAGGGAACATCGGTTTCCTATCCAAAATATTGCGTACGATGTGCCTTAAGTCATAAATTTTTGGCTTAGCTGCATTACCAAAGTTACCCCTATTATCAAAACCACCCCCGTTCATGGTACTATCACCTTAACAGCGTTATATATTAATGTGTGGTAATATTTTTTTTTTCTTTTCTTTAATTTTACAGATACAGATCCATCGCTAGAATCAATCCCATCAGCGGATCAGATCCAAGGTCCATATAATGTGGAACAATTCAATTGTATAGCTTCAACCTTACAGTTATCACCAATTTCATCGAGAAGTATGAGAAGTATGAATTATCGTGTTCAAAAATCTGCAGAGATCACGAAATGCAGGAAAATCCTCTGTATTAGGCCCTTTCAAATGTTAGGCTAGATTTTTGTTTTAAGCACGCCCAGATTATCAAAAGGTCAAAATCTTTATGCTCATTAAGTTTCAACGGATTTTAATAAGGCTGAGCGCGTATTACTATTCGACTTTGAGTGAAACACGCTAAAAAAAATTAACATGAAAAAGTTGTTGTTCGAACAACTTTTTTTCTTTAAAAGCGCCCACTTTGCGATGTATGAAGAAAAGTTAGGTAATTATATTGCCTTTCATGAGAAAAAATATCAAGCAAATCTGAGGGGTACCATTTTTGTGAAAATGACTTTTAATTTTTAAATATATTTTTTTAGAGTGTAGAAACCAATTTTTTAATTTATTTAAATTTTTTTTATAAAATTTCAGATTATTTGCTAAAAGTTCGCCATACATCACTATTTTGTAGGGCTTGTCATTTTTAAGCTATATCGATTTGAAAAAAAAATCGACAAAAAACTTTGACCCTTATCAAATGTTAGGCGAGATAAATTTTGAAAAAAAAAAGTACTCAAAGTTGCTTAAAATTGCTAAGTCTCCACACCCACAAAGTTTCATAAGGTTCTGAGAGGGTGCTGCCAACTCCGAAGACGAGTTGGCGTGAAATCCGTCTATATTTTCTTAAAATTTATCAAAATAATGCAAAATGAAATGTGCTTCTTAATTTAAAAATCATGCTTCGATATAAGATACAATTCGATATAACATACATTCGTGAAATCAAAATGTATGTTATATCGAAGTTTACCGGTAGTACGTTCAGACTACAGAGTTATAACATTTTATAGCGCTATCTTGATGGTGGTTTCTGTGTTGCAATTATTTGACCACCGTTATACCAACAGTTAAAACATGTTATAACTCTCCAGTCTGGACAGCGTTTTAGACCTTCATTTGAAGAACCGTGAAGTTTGGTATGTCCCATGACGGGTTTTGGTTCTAGTCGAGATTTGATAACTTCTTCGAGGGGCATCGTAATATTCCCGGAGGCAGCGAAACATGCCGGGGAGGGCTAGTGTGACCGTGGACTGTCAATAAAGCCATTACCGGCCGAGTTTTATAAAATCATTAAGCTTGATATGACGCACGACAGGTTTTGGTTCTCGTTGAAATTTGGCCGCTTCTCCGGTGGCACTGAAACCCTATTGGAAGCGTGAAGTGTCAATAAGGCCATTACCGGCCGTGTTTAGCAAAATCATACAGGTTGATGTGTCACACGACGAGTTTTAATTCTTATTGAGAATTGACCGCGAGAGAACCGGAACATTTCCGGGATGGCCAATGTGACCATGCTATCTCAATAAAGCCATTAAATGGCTGGTTTTGAAAAACCATGAAGTTTGATATGTTGCTCGTCGTATTTTGATTCTTGTTGAAAATAGAGCTGGAATTAGGACGTAACAGCTTTTGTAAGCAATGATTTCTCGGAAGCCATGGCACTCCCTGGCAAATCGACATCACCATCGAGCAGAGGAAGACTTCTCCTACCCGATGGATGTGTTGGTTTGTGTAGGCGTGCCTTGAATTCCGAGAAATCAACGAGAGAATTCATTGTTTACAAAGGCTGTTACGCCCTAATTCCAGCTCTATCTAGAATTGGTCGCTTCTCCGGTGGAACCGAAACATGCCCGGGAGTGCTAGTGTAATCGTGGACTATCAATAAAGCCATTACCGGCCGAGTTTTATAAAATCATGAAGTTTGATATGTCGCAATAAGGTCATTACCGGTTTAGTTTTGAAAAACAACACAACACAACGAGTTTTGGTTCTTGTTCAGAATTCACCACTTCCCCGGGGAAACAGGAATATCTCCGGGAGCACCGGTACATTTCCGGGGCACCATAACATGCCCGGGAGGGCTAATGTGAACGTGGATTTTCAACCAGTAAAGTTTTGTAAAATCATGAAGTTTAATGTGCCGCACGACTATTTTTAATTCTCAGACCACTTCCCCGAGGGCACCGGACCATTTCCGGTACGACCAGTGTGACCGTGGTATCTCAATAAAGCGATTACCGGCCGAGTTTTGAAAAATCATAAATTTTGAAATGCCGCACAACGGGTTTTGGTTCTTATCAAGAATTTGCATCTTCTCCGAATGCACCGAAACATTTCTGGGGGCACCGGAACATGACCGGGAGGACTAGTGAAACCGTGGGCTGTCAATAAGACCATTACCGGCTTAGTTTTGTAAAATCATGAAGTTTGATATGTCACACGACGGGTTTTTGATTCTTGTTGAGAATTGTCTACTTCCCCGGGGGCACCGGAACTTCTTCGGGATGCCCAATGTGATCATGGACCATCGATATAACTGCCATAGGTCCATTTATAAAATATTATGATCGCCGTGTGTATAATTATTGTAAAACAGTAATGCCGAATGCCGTCCCAGAGTGACCCCAACGGAGACCAAAATAACTGCGGAATCATGTATTGATCTTCACTTTTCCTGAAAGATTAAAAAACTAGGATAGATTCCCGACAAAACGCAACTTGTTTTGTAGCAAAAGATTGAGAAGAGATGTTTTTAGAGCTAATTGAATTTTGAAATCTAAGTTAATTTTGACGTTAGACACGCAAATGTTACTATTTTAAGTAGCTTTTTTTTCCTTTAGAACCGAAATCCTGTTTATGAAAAAAAACACTACTATTGATTTTATTAAAAAATGTTCTGCCACCTTAAAAGCAAAGTTTCATTGCACCACTAGCTAGATTGGTGGTTTCTCATTTAGCTAGATTGCCAATTTTTCCCCTAGGGGCAAAAACTTCAGCGCTCCTCTCTAGGAACCAACTTTTTCAATTTAAAAGGATGACACTTAGATCAATAACCTTCGTTCGACATCAAAAATAAGCAAAAGGGCACAAAGCAACTCCCAAAACTTTCGATCAAACTCACCTGCATTGCTGCTGGAACTGGATCCTCCCTTGACGGCGTAGTTGTTATTGATCGAGTTGAAAAAGTTGACCGCCCCGGTTCGTCTCAGAATCCAAAACATGCTGCTACCGCTGACGATGCTGAAATACTGTCTCGCCGAAACAACGTTAAACCACCTCTGCTATTTCGTCGCACGGCTGGGTTTCACGCGAATTAATCAATTCGCAGCCCTGGGAATCGGCAGCTTTCCCGGCTCACCACAGGGGCAAATTACTTTTTCTCACGCAGGTTGCTATGGAATCTCGGTTTTCCAGTTTTTTTTTGTTCACCACAGAGCACAGAGGTGTGATGATTGCTTCTGTCACGGAATAAATCTCCCCGAACCTGACGTCGGACGACACCACAAAGCAATTGATTGGAAAGTAATAGAGGAAATTTCACGATGCTAACACTCTTGCCCCGTTCTTTTCTCACTTGGTTATACGATTCAAACCTTCCAAAACAATAGGGCCGTTGATTGATAAAATTTTCACGATACAAGCTCTCGCCCCGCGAAGACGAATGAATAGATCATAAAAAAAAGCGATAACGAAATCCTCCAGACTCTTCCGAGCTATCTGTGCGGGAATCGTTTTTCTCCCCACGGGAATTACAAACTTTCACTCCTGCCAGCTGGGTGCTGAACTCCGGTCGTCGTCGTTTGCAATATCAATTTCCATCCGCGCGCGCAATCACTTGACACTTCCGCTTCTCTTCCGGGATTCAAATGAGCGGAAAACTGTAGGAAAATAGCTACACAGAGTAACTGGCACCTAGAAAACTGCCTCCATAGCTGGCTGGTGCACTGAAGTTCAAGTGTGGAAAAAGCTCCTAAAGCTCGAGAAAGGACACCGTTTGGATGGGGAGCTTGCGCGTCCGATTGAACCGGCACGTCGAAACAGACTGGTGAACAGCTGGCCAAACGATTGCCTACTTTCAGGCGGATGCAAGGATACAATGTCGCGTCGTTGTCGTCGTCGGTATGTATTTCCCAGACTGGATTACATAATTCCACAGGCGTGCGCAGTTTCATCGACGGCCACGGGGACATTCCTTGGCTGACGTCTGTGCACGCCAGTGCCCGTGAATGTCGAGTTCATCCCGAGCTGGCACATGGCACGCGGTCGGATGGTCACTCATCGCTCGGGCTCGGTTCGGTTCCCATCGGGATGCTGAGTGCTGAGTTACCTACTCATTGTCTACTGATGATGGCTCGACGAAGTGAACGAGATGAAAACGGCCAGATAGCAGATGGTGATAACTAGACACCCTTCGGGGCAAACGAGGTTTGAGTTGAGGTTGAATTGCTTAGGAATATGGTTTGTTGTGGCGTTTTTGCTGTGCACTGAGAATGGGTTTTATTGTGTGCAGTGTATACGTAGGGATAACAGCAAGGATGACAAAACGAACAAACCAACTGAAGCTGCTGAAGTATAAGTAATGAGAAATGAATGGAAAGTTCATTGGTCGATTTGGTGGTACTTGTTTTTTTTTATAAAAGCGTTTTGTCACCTTTATTGGGTTATCAGCGTACCTAGAGAATTTAAGATCTGGGAATTGTAAATCATTATGCTCTGGTTGTCGATGAGCAAATAATGCGTTATTACTAGACGTGCATCAGCAAAGAACTAGACGTCACGATCGGTGATGCCCATGAATACAAATCAGATTTGCTTTTGCGGGCACGTGAGGCTGTGCAACTTTTTGTGCGAGAAAAACTTGACGAGCCATAGCAATTATTTATTGAGAAAGAAACGAGCGGACAGAGCTTCATGCCTTTTTCTTGTTGGTAAATATCGAAATGAAATGCTATCTCATCAACACCGTCAAGATTTGCTCAGTGCTAGGTTTTCTTGAAAATCAAACCGGAACCAGCAGCTATTTTTAAATTAAATATTTTGTATGTGGTCAGAACCCCCCCTAATAAAAATTGTATGGTTAATTTGCTTTACGACGTGTTCTGGGTATCATCCAAACCATTTGTGGAATAGTTCAATGATTTGGGTTATCGTTCGTTTATGGTTATTTTTTATTAGGGCCACGTGCTTAAAGCAAAAATAGATCCGTTCGGACTTCTCCGTTTTTTGACGTAGGACTACGTCTGTAATTTCTATATGGAGGTACACTTTGTGAAAACCGAAAGTGGAACATGTAATGAATTTGTGAAAGATTTTGAACGTTAATAACTCAGCTGTCCCTGGACCAATTTCAATAATTTTATCACCAATCGATCAGAAATATTTCTACGCATCAATGACATTGCTTTCAACTGTTGATTTTTAACAAGAAACTATTGAAAAGTGGTGAATGACAAGCATTGTCCAAAAGCGTCGAAACAGCTCACAAATCCACCAATTAATTACATGCATATGATGCTTCCCCAACACAGTCATCAGACAATCGTTTCTAGATGAAACATTTCGATGTAGCATTGCTGTTTCCCCAACACTGTCATCAGATAGTCGTTAGTAGACGAAACGAGTCGAAGCAGCATTCGCCTCCGATCATCGGGCGTTTGCAAATAGGGAGACTGCAATTGTGTAACATTTTGCACACTCATTGCCATATTCAGAACCACACACCCCCAACGACTGATTTGATCGATTCTTTTCATAGACTTGATGTGATTTTGATCGATTCTCTTCATAGACTTTCTGTTTCGTTAATATTTCGATGGAAAACGAGCAGTAGAGTCTATGAAAATTTCATAGATTTTCGACGAAAAGTTAGCTCAGTCAGTTAGTCAACATGAAAATGTCAACATACAAGCATATAAAATAATTATGTAATTGTTATTATTCCATTTTAGAGTCTACTTCCCCCGAGGGGGACGACTCTATCTATGATGCAGAAAAGATTGTGTTTTGCTGTGGCTAGCTGCACGCACGCTGAGTAGATAGATGGAAGATTTATGTCGATTTTGAAGATTTCCTGCAAAAAGATTAAGCACGATGCAAGTAGATGCGGGAAATGAAAGATGATTTTTCGAAGATTGATTCGCTAGTGTGAGATTTTTTGAGCATCTAGAATTGAGATTTAGATGTGTCGCCCCCCTCGACTTCCCCACCAAATTTTGATCGTGCTAATCGTGAGTTCACGAAGCGGTTCATGGATAACGCTTTCGGTGCTGTATGCGACAGACTATGGTTTACCAATTATTTGAAACCATTCACAGAAGTGGGTGCGGCTGCGTTGGTTGACAGCGGACTTTTCAACCCGTTGACGGATTTTGGGCTTGCCAAACTTGCCAAAGCAATCTGAAGCGAGGAAAAGTACCGGTTTTTGCAAAATCGAACGGTTTTGCATTTCCAGACAAGCCATTTGGACTGCCACTACTTGATATCGTAAGAGATGAACTAGGCTACGGCTCAAAATAAAAATTAAAAAAAACGTTTTGTCGTCACGGAACAGTTGGTATCCGCCGATTGCAATTTGCAGCAGGTAAAATTAAATTGTAATGCTCGTTGACTTGTAATTTAACAACTATGTTTTCAATTACAGGCGGCTATTCTATTATCAGGTGATCAATTGTCCCGTGGATGTGGCTCAAATGGTACACTCTCTTCCCCGTCGGCTCAATGATGATCAGGCCTTCAACGTGATCATCAAAAAGCACGTAATCCATAAGTCGTCGTACTTGTCCGGCTTAAAGCCACTCAGAACGCCATAGATGGCCTTGAAACCCCAGCAGTGGATCCTCAAATTGAGCTGGAAACCATTGCCATGAATAACGAGACAGAATTGCTGCTTGGGCAACAGGAAACGCTCCTTTGGAATGAGGACAAATGCCTGGAGATCGCTCCAGCGCAAAACAAAGTTCCTCTATCATTGATTTATGACGAGCACGGCGAAGAGCTAGCTTTTCCTGCCATATATTAAGGCCGTCCACGGAATTTCAAGCCAGGTGTTCGGGTGACATATTTCATGATGGCATCCAGTGAAACTCGTCGCCGACACAGGCGTGGGGCCAAACCACAACATTTGTTGTATATGGCAATGAAAGTTCTTCGCCTTAGATTTTCCGAAGGCTTGCAATGCTCTTTTAAGTGATCGGGGACCGCGGACATTACACGTGCCAACCGTAAGGACCGAGAATTCATGGAGCAGTGCATTGAGCGAAATCTATCCTTCCTCAAATCAATACCGAATTCAGTACAGTATTGACAACAAATTCACCAGAGAAATTTGTTCACTATGATGCGACAATTGGGAAAGCCTACGATGTTCCTCACACTCAGTGCAAATTAGATGAAGTGGCCCCATTTGTTGAAGCTCCAGAAGGACACAATGGCAATGACTTAACAGATCCTATCCAGGAATTGACTGCACTACAAAGAGCAACTCTGGTCAATGACTTGAGCCGGCGCCGGTGGTGTAGTGGTAAGCGTGACTGCTTTCTAACACCCCAATGGGTCTGGGTTCAATCCCCAGCCGAAGTCGGTGGGATTTTTCTGAGGCATAAAAATCTCTGGTCACGTCTTCCTTCGGAAGGGAAGTAAAGCCGTTGGTCCCGGACCATGTGTGTGAATGGGTGCGATATCCTACGCAGGTGTGGAAGCTGCCTTCCTGCACATTCGGTGGATGGCAACCGATGTCCGTCGGTGATTGGCACTGTGTGCAGCATTGCTTCCGCCCACTTGCTATACAAAAATTGTTTTCGGAATTATAAAATCGTTAGATTTTATTATGATATTTGTACTTGTACGTTAAAAGAAAAGGTTAAAAAGTATGTGCTTGACACATGAAACCTGTCAATTTCGCTCTCAAAATGTCACAATCAGTGATTTTATAATTCGTGAGCGTACACTCAGAGTGAGCGCTCGCGAGTCGTAAAATCGCTGATTGTGAGTGTCTGAAAGCGAATTTGACAGGTTTTATGTGTCAAACACTTGCCTGTCAACCTCTTCTTGTATCTAACAAGTACAAAATATCATTATAAGATCTAATGATTCCAATATTCCGAAAACCATTTTTTTATAGCAAGTTAGTGGAAGCAAGCCTGTCTGTGTGTACTTCAACAAGCTGCTGATGTCGCGGTACTACAGTCCATTCGGAAAGCACTATGTGGTCGATTATTTCAAGTGGATTGAATTTCAGCACCGTGGAAGTCCTCACGCGCACATCTTGCTATGGGTGAACAAGGATCCACGGGAAGCAATCAGTGAAAGTATGCCAAAAACTACAGGTGCAACAGTATCATGGTATTCATGCCTGTACTACTACCGTCGACCCTTTTCAGGACCACTAAGATTTTCCAAAAAAGAGTTAAATTTCTTAACATGTCCCTACTGAAATTCATATCAAACGGTTCTTTTGAGGGCAATCATGGTCATACTAAAGAGTACAAACAGAGAGAACCCCGCTAAAATTCGTATTCAAACACAAAACACAAGTCCTGCTGCAGTTAACAAATAATATTTATCATATATAAGACCACGTAGTCCTACGTCACCATTGCGTACAACCCCATAGGGCTGTCTCTAATAGTTTTTTATAACTCGAGATGGTCTAGCGGAATAATTCTTTAGTGGAAAGATTTTACAACACAAATTGATAACTCTAGCTATTTTTACAAGTTTGATGAATGCTTTATATTTTCCGAAAACAAGAATCAAAGTACAAATTTGGGGACAGTACCTACAGAAGGAGTAGGAACTCAACTCTGCACATTGTGCCGAAACACAGCATGACACACTGTTTGGCACGATACACGGTAAGAAAAAAGTACCCAACGGCCAGTTCATTTCTACCTACTTTTGACTAGTTTGTCTCCTGTTCTCCTTCTAATGTTGTCAAAACCGAAGGAGCTAAACCACCCAACAGGGGTATTAAAGTGTGGGAACCCAACGTTGAGTATAATCATGTTTACATACTTTGGGT